ATTAAGATTATTTGGGAGAATTCCCTTTGAATAAATTATTTCAAGTTAGCTGTATTTGCTGCTAACTTTATAATCTCTTTTTCCAGATTTTTTTTTTCCTAAGTTTTACCAGCGCTAACATTTTGCCTATGGGATTTTGTTACACTTTCTGTACGAAAAGGCTGCAGTAAATATCCGGTAATGAAGGTAACGTGTAGGTCATAAGCAAGTGAATTATTAAACTTCTTGGTAGTGTCTGCAGGTATGCAGGCACGATTTCTTGGTTAGAGCATAACCCTGGTGGCTTTTTAATCCTACAAGGTAGCCTGACAGTACTGACCAAACTGAAACAACTCTTGAAAAGGACTTTGCTAACAATTCACTCTGTCTTCACTTCATCTTTTGTTCTCCACCACAATGGTGAACAACTTCTGCTGCTTGCAGTCTTCCAAATACAACTGTAGACTTTTGAGGAGTTCTTTTAGCAGAGACAATAAAGAAAGAAAATGAATTTTCCAGGGTGTATTCTCAATGTAGTGTATGAAATATGTATATGATATATAAAATACCTCCATCTGCTTCTTCAGATCCTCTTTAAAGTAGTGTTAGAGTATACATTTTATCTGAATCTGTTTCTTAACTTTTCTTTAAATGTCAACTAGCTCATTGGCTACTCATTATGGCAATAAGTTACATAATAATCAGTGTTATTTTTGGTAATTTTTTGGATTTTTTTTTTAAGTCTTAAAATTAGTACATGCAATTCATGTATTAAGGATTTTACTGGTAATTGAATACGGTTATTTTACCTAGAGTTTATAATTTATTTTCAGATGGCTTAGACATAAAACAAATTAACTTAGTTGCTATAAATAAAACCAAAATACAATCTTTATTTCTGTTGAAAGTAAGTTAATATTAACACTTATAAAACTAAAAGCTGGAAATGTGGGAGAATAGGTATATGGAGATGCAGATAACAAGCTGCACAATCAGGGATACTCTTCCTGTAACAGGAACTGAGCTAAACGCCTCCTTTAACATGTATTCAATCTATATTAAGGCCAAACGCCGTACTTTTTAAAAAACCCTAGTATTATTTTCTGCCATGGGTAACCCGAAATGTTACTGTATTCTAGATCTATCTGTGCCCAAATTTTGTTACTGTCTCTTTAAGACCCTGCAGCCGGAAATGGAACTGGAGAGGTGTGAGCATTTTTTAAATCGGTTTTTGCAGGCAGCTCAGCCTCTTTGATGGACTGATTTTTGCCTTGCTGGGTTCTTCATTTTGCTGAGGCAGAGCTCTCACTCTGGCTGCTTTTTTGGCCCTTGGCTTCTTGCTATAGAGCTGGGGCTGTGTGGACAGAGGCTTTTCAGGTTTGGGTTCTCTTTGGGATTTGGTTTTTTCTCATCTCAGAGAAGCTGCAGTTAGTGGTCTTGGTCTGCCTCAGGGCAAATTCTACCAGCAGCACGTGGCTGAGGAGAGAAGACCACAAGCCACCCTAGCCCAATTGTCATTTCTTGCCTGCCCTACCATCTCCTGCAAGAGAAAAGTGAAGTCCTTACATGAGTTCTAGCCCCCTGATCCGAGAATGCCAGTAGGAGCTCCAGCTATCAGGGAGATAAGCAGAGCAGTGAGCAGAGGGAGGACTGGCACTCTTTCCCTTTGTCCATGAGACGTACTCGGCTGGGGGGGAGCTACCTTGGTGGGGAGGTACTCTGTGAGATGTAGCAATATTGTGTCTAGCAATTGTTTACTGTTATTCCTTGCTGTTCTGATTGTTAGTAAATTATAATTTTTTCGCTTACTTCTAGTTGCATTCGTTCCTCGTCGGTGGAAAAGAGTTGGTTAAGCCTATAAGGGGAAGCAACTCATTCCAGAGTGTTCTTCTAAAATTCTGTAAAACCAAGACATAAAATATAACTAGTAAACTAGTCTAGCTAAGATGTCTCTTTAGTTCTTCATACCCTTCCAGGGAGGTTTGTTGTGATGGTCCTTTAACCTTACACTCATGTAGATGATGAGAAGAACTGCTTTTTTAAACTATTAAAAAATCAGCAATCCAGAAAACTGTCTTGATCTTCCATGAGCCCTGTTGAAAATATGCAAGGAATTCTTGTTTTATTATACAGGACTCACTGTGTTTTTATGGCTTTCAAAATAATGTCCCTTTCTCTCTGCCTCCATTACAGAAGGAGAACAAAAGAATGACTGTACTGGGACAAAAAGTCTTACCTAACCTAGTGTCTGGTCCTTGGCAGCCAATACCTAGAGAAGAGATAAGATTAAAGAACTGTAAATGACACTATTGCAAAGACACTATTTTCAAAGACTTCACTAACTGCAGATCAGAGACTTCCAGAAAAAAGGACATTGTCTCCACATTTAGTAGTCCATTATGGATTTATCTGTGTAGAAAAATCTCAAAATGTAATCTCAGTCCTGATCATGGTACAGATCAAAGTGGTTTTCTGTATAACTGTACCTGTGTTGGAGTGTGCCTTTACATTAAGATTGTGCATTTCACTCAGATTTATGTGGAAATCGGTTGAAAACCTGAGGATGGGTTTGATATTTCTGTCATGGATTCAGATTGTTGAAGAACTGCAACACTTGCTTCATATCTAGTATAGCAGCACATAAGGGAGAACTATATAGCTTTGAAAATATGGAAGACAGGAACTTTTTTGTGAAACGTAGAAGTGAACCTGAGACTGCTTTCGTCATAGCTTAGTATCTGCCCCTGTGAAAGGTGTATGTCTATCTGCTGAAAATGAAAAGCTTCAGCTCTGCTCATGTGGCATTTATCTGGTCTGTCCTGGTGTACATCCTTACAGATTGCAATACACACTGCAGAATGTACTGTAATCATGTCCCTGTTTTTTTTTTTTTTTTTTTTTTTTTTTTAACAGATCATAATGCAGACTGCTTATTTATATTAAGTAAAAAAAGAACTAAAGAAGTGTTCTTCAAATGTAGTCCTATAGTGTCACAAAACAGAGCAATGCAGTGTCCCCAGGCAGGTGCAAAAGAGAACTCCTTTATTGCAAAAACCTGGTATTTTTAAGCAATTAGCCTTTTATCAGTTACATACTTCTAAAATACAACAAATATCATCCAACCAACCACCATACACAACAATGTGAACGCACAGTGGTTATACAACTTGTTTTTCCATCTCTTTATTCAGTTGAGTTGCTCCCAGTGGTCTTTTCTACTTAGCCAAAGTAACAGGAATGAGCCATGATTTCATAAGGCATCCTTCTGTAAAGTTTTACCTATCTGCATCACTACAGCATGTTATTAATGTTTAAAATGAAAGTACACATGCTCCACTTATCAAAAGAAAGAGATCCAGATCTAAGAGTCTTGGGACTTTTAAAGAAATTTGTCCTGTGAAAGATACAGGAGTTTTCTCTGTATTGACAACTTACCAACTTGGCATACACTGGAACTTCTAAACTCACCATGGAGCTACAGAACGGATGGAATAAAGGTACAGCCATTTACCAATAATTGTAATACCATTTCAGAATGATACTGCTCATCCTCCATGAAAATATCTGTAGTAAAGCTAGATTAAATTCTGTAGCTTTGTAAACTTCTGAATGACATATTTCCTAACCATTCTCTTTTATGGAAGTCTTTAATCAGCATATATTTTATACAAGTTGGTGAATTCATCAGGTTCTGAGGGATGACTTGGAAGTTCTGCTCTATGCCTTACCCAATAACATACAGAACAAAGTGCAAAACCCGTTAGTGTCAATGTGAAAGAAGGCGAGGTTTTTCACACCAGAACTAACAGAGTTTCCATAAGGGAGGGGAGCTCCTTGGACACCCATCTGACAATATCACCATCTTACTTTTTCTGGTTTGGATAAGACTTTGTGCTGACAAAACCACAGGTCAAGTTGGGATAGAGCATTACCACATGTTTGCATTGGGAAATGAGCTGCAGCCCCTCACATTGCTGCTTAGACCTGGCCCTCTAGTTTTAGTTGATAATGAAAACATAACTGCTGTCTTGGGCAAGGAATTACCCTATTAAGGTAGAACAGGAACTCTGGAGAGTTCCACAAAGAGTCCAGTGGTGCTGACACTGCAACAGAGACTATCTATCTAATCTATCTGTCTATCTATCTGTCTGTCTGTCTGTCCATATATATGTATCTACACACACGGAAAACGAGCCAGGTACAGATTGACCACAGGTGGCACTTGAGTGGCCCTGTGTTCTGGACCAATAATTGGCATCACCCCTGCTGGCTAATACTCCGTATTGAGTCAAGGAATGGCCTACAGATTGAACCATCACTGAAGAAGGTGAAGACCTGAATTAATCAGTTTCTCCAGACGCTTTGGCTTTAGATGAGGCGCATCTTTGTTAGGAGCATGCCACTGGAACTGTAAAACCCTGTGGGACAATGCTGTTAGGAGGGCAGACTATGGTTTATCAGCAAAATTCCCTGCAGGACTAGTCATCATCAAGGACCTTGCTTTCAAGGACCTTACCCTACTTGGCTGGAATAAGACTTGGTTGTGAAGCCACTTCACAGAATCACAGAATATTCTGAGTTGTAAGGGACAGAAGGATCATCGAGTCCAACTCTTAGCCCTGTAAAGGACATCCTCAAGAATCGCATTGCGTTCTCGTGACACGTGTTGTCCAAACGCTTCTTGAACTGCGTCAGGCTTGGTGCTGTGACGGCTTCCCTGGGGAGCCTCCACCAGTGCCCGGCCCCGCTGCGTGAAGACCCTTCCAGCTGCAGGCCTCTCCTCGCCGCCGTGCGCGGTGCGCGGTGCCGCTGCGCGCGGCCGTTCCCGCCCCTCACGGGGCGAGCCCGAGCTTTCCGCGCGCGCCTCCCGCTGCCCCTGCTAGAGGGCGCCTGCCACCCCCAGCGCTGCCGGGCCTGCGCAGCAGCGGCGTCGGCCGAGCGCAGGCGCGGGGCCGGGCGGGGCGAGAGCGGCGGCGGCGGCGGCGGCTGCTCCGTCACGGGAAGGGCGGAACGCGGCGGCGGCGCCCGTTTCCTCCGTCGCGTCTCGGCGGCTGCGGCGGACGCGGCCGGGCTCGCCGGTGGCCGGGCGGGCGGAGGAAGGATGGCGTACTTCGTGGAGAGCTTCTGGGTAGGGCAGCGCCGCGGGGCCGGTGACGCCGCGCCGCGGGCGGAACGGGCAGGGCGCGGCGCAGGGCAGCCGCAGTCCCCGCTGCGAGAGCAGCCTCGGCTCTTACGCCACCCCCGGGACTGAGCCGGGGCCTTGCGGCCGGGGGTTCGTGCCCGCTGCGCCCGCCTCGGCGGGGCTGGGCCGCGGTGAGCGGAGTACCTGCAACCTGCGGCACGGCAAGGGGACCGCCGGCCCTGCCCGCGCCGCCGTGCTCGGGCTCCGCTGCGGAGAGACGGCGGGAAGAGGGATGGGGTGGTACGGGACAGGATAGGATGGGGTGGGTATTGCTATGAGGCGCTGGGCCGAGGGATGCGCGGACGCCACTCTGTGCGCAGGGGTCCGACGCTCGCAGTCAGCACGGTGCCGGGGGGTGACTTGGGCTGCCGTGAGTCGTGCTGCTGTGCGAGGAACAGCACGGGCAAAGGGAAAACCGCGCCTCGGTTCTCCGCGCTTTTGTACCGGTAGCTCGTCTCTATGTGCCCGTGAGGAGGTACAGCCGAGCAGCGGCCGGCTTAGGGAAACAACAGGCTTTCCAGCCTCCTTTGGACGTGCGATCTTATAAGTCATCTCTGCGCAGTTATCTGCTTTTTGAAGTGGGTAAATATATATGGATAAAAAAATTAAATGGATTGAGTTTCGTGTGACATGCAACTAGTTTTCATTGTGACCTTTGCTAGTTTGAAACATTAAAATAAGTGTTCCCATAGTCCCCAGATTGTTTACAAAGTTGCTTCTTCTTTAATTTTTTTTTTTGTGCCTCTCTACCAAGAAGTAGCAGAAACGTAAAAATTGTTTTTGTTTTAGCCTGAAGTGAAAATATCTTTAGACGCATGCGTTTCTAGTTGTAAGCAACAGTTATGCTTAAAGTTCAGGAAAAAACTAATTTCACAATTACACTGTTCCGGAATATAGGGCATAGCTCAAGTTTATGTTTTATTTGCAATCTTATGTTTAGTTTTGACTCCTTTGCTTTCAACATACTATCAAAATTTAATGACCAGAGATACTAGATTTGCTCTCTTGGCATACAAATCTGCTTAATTTGAAGTCTCAGTGTGGGAGATAAGTATTAAACTAACGTGGAAGAATTTTATCTTTCATTAAAATAAGATTAAAATTAATATAAAAAGATGCATTTTGGTTAGAAAAACTTCTACTCCTAACATTAAAGCAAACCAGAAGTTGTTTATTCAGCTATCACAACTGAAATTGAGTTTAAGCTTCATTATGCTTCATTATGTACTGTATTTAGCTTCATTATGTACTGTAGTATGTTCATTTAACTGTCTGATCAGTTGTTTTGTTTAGTTAGTAAGTCAGTTAAATTGGTGAAGGCAGTGGTCCATTCCTGTATGTTCTGTTTCCACATCTGTGTCTTCACAAACGCTTCCAGCAAGTATGAGGTGGAAGATATCTACCTCAGGTTCTCATTTCTCTCTTTCTGCTTTAAAGATTCTCTACCTATAGCTTTTTTTAGCAAAACCCGTAGTGTGGTTTACCAATGAGTGCCAAGACATGGGTGATTCCTTCTTTTAGTACAGGTTTTTCACATATGTCAGAAATGACACAAGGTAGGACAAGAAGTTTGTTTGTGTTTGTCTTGCAGTGATTATCAAGACATTAGACAGGGTCTTAACTTGAAAAATTTAACCAAGAAATTTTTGTGATACCATACACAGAGTTTTATTTTGTATAGAAGTAAAATTAAAAGGCATAGGGAATGTTCTGTGTTTCCTGCTGTGGATGAATATTTTCCAAGATTAACTGTAATGATGGATTTGTAAAATCTGAAAGTATTGAATTTTTGTATATCCTCAGAACTAGGCATAAATTATAGGTTTGTGCATTTTTAGTCATTAGTCGTCTTCATTTGCACTAACATTTCAGAATAGGTTATTGTTCAGAATTGCTACTGCTTTGGAAGACTTGGGAAGGAATCCATGTAGGCTCTCAATTGTGGTGATAAAGTTAAGATGGGAATTAGAAGATACATGAAAATGCACTGAATGCATAATGGCTAAAAATAATGAATAGAAATTTGTAAGGAGAAAGGAAGGTGATAGTATGTAAAAATTCGTGAGGATTGTCTTGTCATTTCTTCCTTACCCCCTTCTAGGTAACTCCAGACAAAATATTTTTGGAAATATGGAATAAGATTGGTATGCTTTTTAAAGCACTGATTCAAAAATGTATCCGAAATATAATTAATATTATTTTACATAGATGCTGTCATAAATTTGAAATTGTGCATTGGAAACAAAAGTCTGGATCTTAAGCTGTATGATGCTCTCCCTTGATTTAGTAATTTGCTGTAAGTAATAGGAAAAGAGATCAGAAACTGAAGGGACTTTAATGAAAAGGGGAGTGACATCTGTATGAGTGTATCAATTTCTTACACATATTTAAGCTGCTGTCTTCCTAAATGTGCTCATGTAAGCAAAACAAATCTTACCTTCTTTGTTGTAAGTCTTGAAAATTATCCTGAGGCTTTCCTCTTGCACTGCTTTTGAAAGCGTTTAAATAATTGCACACTTTGGTTTTGTTGTTGTGAGAGGATGTAAGAAAATTGGATGAGCCTGCTGTGTCTTCAGTGTTCTGTGAGAAGTCAATGAGAGATAAATAAGACTGTTTTCAGGATGTGGAAAGCTGGAGTGCAGAGACCTCTACTGTGACTTTAAAAATTTACTATTGCCTCAAAAATGTAAGGGTCTGCTAATGCATTCTAGAGCTATTTTCCAAGCCAGGAGGATATTTTTGGGTATTAAAAGTTGTGAACAAGTAGTACAGGCTGTAAGTGGCTTGGATTCTTATGACTTGAGTTTTATGCGTTCAAGTCACATGTCCAATTATTCCCAACTCCTAATTAGTATTGTCATAAAACACTGCATGCTTGCTGCTGTGTATGTGCTACATCACAACAATGTCATAATTTAAAGGTAACACTATCATAAACCATTTCTGTTAAACATAGCTACATTTTGTCCCTTCGAGTACACTGTTACTGGTATAGGAGTATAGAAAGTGTTGTTTATCATTGACTTACAGTTTTCTTAACAGTGCAGGTGATTCTTATGACAGTTTAAAGACAAGTCAAGAAAAATAAGCGCCTTCCAAACCAGTCAGTGATTGTTTATGAATTGTTTAAAATTAACCAAATTAATTAAACTATTGGAAGTTCTGTGAATAGCTGAAGCTGCTTTCTGTGTAACTCTGTACTTGATAACTTTGGAAGTTCTGGCATATAAAAACATATGTATAAATTGGCTTTGACAATTTTTAAAATTTTTTAAATTGATTGCTTTACTGGTAGCTTTTGAGAATGGCTGTGTTGAAGTTTTGGGTTTGTTGTTCCCAAATACTTTTTGTGGAGCGTAAAGGTTGGCAGTATCCTGGTTTAATAATTATAGCTTTGTGAAGAAGCTTGCTCTATTAAGGGTAAGAATGTAGTGTCTTACAAACTTGTGAGTATGTGAGTGGCACAAAGACTTGCCATGTTGACGTCTGGAGTTATATGTTTTTGCGTCACTACTCTTCTGCTGGGCATACAGCTGGATGCTCTGTTTCAGGAGAGCTGTTGTGCAATATTTACTTAGTATCCTCTCTGTATGTGTGCATGTAGCATGAGTTGGCTGCCTTCCATCTGTTATTTAAAAAAATATTTGAATATTTTTAGTTACCTATATGTGGAGGGAAATCTCTGTCCTTTCTCATATGCATAGAGCTTCTCTGGAGTTGATCTTTATTTGATAGGTTGAAACAGGAAGGTGAAAATTGAAGGTGACAGTCTTCTCAAAACTTTCAGAACAGAAGAAGATGCATTGCCTGTGTAACCAGATAATGACTGCTTTTCTTTCACATTTCAGTGCTCTCAGTTTTCTACAGTTCTTTCAGACACTCACAAATTGAAACTTACAGATAGGTAACTTTCAAAAATGTAAGACCATAATATTAATCACATGGGTATTTTTAGGTATTCAGGGCCCATTAAATTAAATAATTTTCTAGGTAGAAAGCTTGGAAGATATGTTGTTTGTTTGAAACTGCAACAAGGATTAACACTTTAAAGAACATGACAACAGTGTTTGTCAGAGCATCTAAAATAAGTTTGCCTTGTCCTGAATTTAGTATCTGACCAGTCAGAGAAACCATAATGTAACCAGTTATTTGGACTGGGTAAATTGAAAATGGTGTAACAGAGTACAACTTCTTTATACTAAGAGATATTAATATTGAATGGTTTTAATCCAAAGGAGACAGAGCTTGCGCTGAAACAATTTGATTTGAAATACAGAAAATAAATGCTGCTTCAGATTGCCTAGAAATTTCTGGGTATTTTACTAAATGTGCATTTTAAATTCAGAATTATTTTTATTGCAACAAACAAACTTATTTTTAAAAATGTGAAGTATTTTAAGTAGTTCAGTCCTGCAGAGTTCCTGTAATGTGTTTCCTGTTATGCAGAAGTCATGGAAATACTGATTTCTGACTACACATTCGCTGACAGGGCTACTTTCATTTCCATGAGGAAATCTTTGCAACTAGTTCTTGATGAAGGGAAATGGAAGGACTGGTTGCTCTTGCTTTCCGTGACTTAAATTTTTTTTGAGTATGAAGTTGGTCACTAATGCTTCGTTGTAGGCTTATTTAAGTGTTTACTTGTATTTAAAGTCTTGCTTTCTCTAGTGACTTGCTCTCAGGGGACATCTGTGTTGTAGATATGGAAGTGGTTTCTTACACTAGTATAGAATAGGAAATCTCACAACAAACACCATCTTCTGAAGAGAGTTTTGTTAGCTCTGAGTAAGGAGAAAACTGCTAATGGATTTCACAGTAATCAAATGGTGCCTATATGGAGAGAGGACCCCTTACGTTTTTCACTCTTATACACAGTTTTGCATTTGTTTTTTTATTGATTAATGACAGGATCACCCTCAACAGATCCTGATTTACCTAAAAAATTACATTCAGAATGGTCTTTTAAACTGATCTGGAAGTCTGTTACCCGGAGCTTGATGTTATACATGACAGCAGAAGGTTGTCTTTCTCCAGTATGCAACTTGTGGAAGAAGAATCTGCATCTGACTTAACTGTCTGTTATACCAGTGCATGGTATTTGCTTATTAATGGGAGTAGAAGGTTTCATCAGTTCCCTCTGCTATGTGCTGCATTAGTTTATTTTTAAGTAGGCCAGTAATGGTCTTCCAGTGATCACAGCTATTACTGCTGCTACTAGAAAGGAGCAAGTAATAACACCCACTGAAGAAGTGTCTAAGACACAAAATTTCCATGTACAGAATTCTATACAGTATGTATGGGAAAGAGAAATGTTGAGAAAATACAGCCAAAACACACAGTGTTGCTGGCATATGTGCATGTAGGAGGATAAATACTTAGCTTTTTGAAATTGAGCAAGTTCTCCTTTCCCCACCACATACATCTGTCTCATTATGCTAAATACAGAGCCTTAACTCTGATTGCTGCTCTTTATGAATATAACTATCAAATGGAGAAGTTGTGGAAGGGCTGTATAGCTTTCTGCATTGACCCAGTGTACTTAATTTGGTTTGGCTACATGTATGTCTCCAAACATGAGCAGAATCGTCATCAGGTTAGTCTTTGGAACTGTTGGTCACGTGAAGAGTTTTGAAGACTGGATGTTTGTGCTTTTAGATAGAGCCTGATACAGGTAATATACCTTGTACTTCACATTATATTTACAAGTGAAGACATGTCTTTTAGGTATGCCAGACTTAAATCAAATAGGCCCTCAAATCTTTGAGCCTGCTTTTGACTTACTGCTTTATTTAAACTTTAATGTCTTTTGCAAGTAGGTTCTTAACCTCCAATAACCATTGATAGTGTATAAGAGATGAGGCTTTCAGGGGACTCATTTGAGGAAAGTATCTGTTCTGTTTCTCTGTTGTGTTTTCTACTATTCATTGTGAAGTCAGGAAAAATAATAGTACTTATTAGAAAACATAATTTAAGTGGAAAAATTATTTCCTTTGCAGTAACCTTCAGTTACAGTTAGAGAACAAGATAATGATGGCAGTTGGTTGTTCAGGCTCATTTCATTCTCTAAAGATTTGTGTGGTTACTTTTCTGACGGTTTATCAGGAAGGCTGCAGCCAGAGGCTGGGTCATGGCTGTGCTATCCTTCCTGCATTTCTAAATTGGCAGGAAATTTAAGGAACTCCAGTGTAGAAAAGGCCCATTTAAAAGCTTCCATTATGAAAAGTTTATAAGCGGCCTATGTTCAGCACATTTTGGTAACATGTTGGTTTAGCTGAAAAAAACACCTTAAAGCAAAGAACATTTCACAAAGGAGAATTTTACTAGTTTTTCAGGAAGAAATGCCTAACGTTTATCTGTAAATGTTTATCTATAAATTAGGGTACAGTAACAACTTTGGAGAAGTTAAATAAGAATTATATTCTGTATTCTAATTGAAAATACCAGTGTAGTCTTAATTATAATGCAGTGGCATTCCAGGTTTATATTAAGTAACTGCCTAAAGTTAATAAGTTAGTGCACCAGTATTCAGAGTTATTGGGCTTTAAACTACAAAGAAAAATGTTTAAATAGGGGTGAAAGGGGAAAGAAACTATTTAGACTGGTATTTGAGTAGGACAACATTTGAATAAAGTTGAATTTTCTACTAATTGGTGTTCTTATCTTTCTTTTACTTTTCAAGTTTGTAAAAGCCTTGCTCTGTGGAGAGTCCTTTTAGAGTTTGCTATATTTTCATGTGTTCTGTTTAGTTTTGTTTGTACTTTTTATATTCTGTAATTGCATTTATACCAAACTAATCTGAATTTTGGTGCACCTTTTCAGGTTACAGTTTACTGCAGCCATGGAAACTATGATTTTTTAAGGTGTTTTTTTTCCTTTGGTTTTGCTTTTCCCAATGCTTGGAAGAAGTAAAGCAAATAATCCTGACTAGTAATCTGTATCAAATTGCCTTCAGTTATCTCTTATTTGTAAATTTATGTGTCTCCCTAGAGTGTCCTTTAAGGCGACTTGAAATTTAGTGGGAGTGGTCTTACTACCATGGTTACGGTGAAGTTTTTCATCCGCCATGACTACTTCTCCTTATTAAGATGGCAGATCCCTGAATGCCTTCTCCTCCTAGCCCCCCCTCTTCTGCTGAGCAGTACAGCTTGTTTGTTTCCTTGGAGTGATCTGGATCAGTGGTTCTTGGTTTTATTTGCCAGCTTTATTTTTCAGCTGCATAATTTCCCTGATAAGGTTTGCGCTATGGCTGCATAAACAAATTTTTGCAGAACTGAACAGGCAGAAATGTTTGGAAGAGTATAAGACCAAATTCTCAGGCTTTTCTCGCTGACAGTATAGACCTCCCTTTGTTAAAAATTCAGGATTTTAAGAATGATGTGGGACTATTTGAATGCATCCAAAAGGATACTACAAGGTTAGTGAGAGTGCTGGAAGACATGTCCTGTGAGGAGCCACTAAAGACCTTGGGCTTTTCTAGTTTGGAGAAAAGGGGACTGGGGTGTGACATAATTGCTCTCTATAGCTTTCTGAGCATGGGAAATTAGCAGCGTGATGCCCATCTCCTCTGCCTGGGAGGTAAGGATAGGACATGTAGAAATGGTTAAAAACTGTATCGAGGAAGATTCAGATTGGACACTAGGAGGAATTTCTTTATTCTGGGAGGGTGGTCAAACACTGGAATGGGGTAACTAGAGATGGTGATCAGTGGCCTGAGCCTGTCAGTATTTAAGGGAAATTTGGACAATGCCATCAAGACCATGATTAAACTTCTGGTCATTCCCAAAGTGCTCAATCAGTTGGGCTAAATGATTGCTGTAGAGCCTTTCCAGCTGAAATAATCTATTTCATTCTATGCTATACATCCTGTTCTTTCCCTTCCACTCTGAACATGCATGCAGTTTTCCTGAGGGCACACTTTGCACCTTATAGCAAAGCATCATTATGGATCTGAAGATTTTGTGAGAGAGAAGGGGAATGGATGGTCTGACAGGAAAACTTTTATAGTAGCGGTGCTACGATGCTGTGCCTTGCCTGTCTTTCATTTCTGTTGTTGCTTTTTGCTGTAAGGAGGAAGTTCATCATAGTGCCAGAGGTCATAAGCTGGCTGAATTTATTAGTCAGTGCTTAGAGCAGTGTCTTAGTTTTAATAGTGAGGTGTGCCTCGCTCACTGGAAAATGTCTTAAAACTTAAGACTAGATAAAGAAGTTACGAGTGAGAAGAAAAATATTCATTTTTTTTTCCAACCAGTTTTACGGAAAGCAGGAGAAGAGAAATGAAGTGTGAAGGATTGGGGAAGTAAGATACCAAGTAATCCTAACTGAATTTTAGTTCATGTAAAATAATGAAAGAGATAAGAGGATAAATGGAGAGTATGGTATTTAGGATGTGTTTAATTTGATGGGAAGTGAAACAATACAAGACCCCTAGAAATCTACAACAGAAATGTCTTTGACTATAACCTAGAAATATATAGATAGAATGGTAGTAGTAGCAGCTAAGGTGATCTTAGTTTAGTTTACATATATGGGATTCATGGAAGCTAACAGCAATTGCTAAAAAGCTGAAGCATAAGAAACAACTTCTGATGAAGTGATTAAAATGAAAAGCAGTTATGAAAATGCATGGGTTCAGCATGTTGTGTTTCAGAGTTTTATTTTCTGTTTATCTTTAGGGAGAAAGGAACAATGGCTTTGATGTCCTCTATCACAATATGAAACATGGACATTTGTCAACAAAGGACTTAGCAGACTTTATTAGAGAAAGGTAAGTATTCATCCTATATTTTAAATATAGTAATTATAGGTTTTGTTTGTCATTGTGTTTAACAGTAGTGTGCAAAATATGTAAACAAAATTCAATTATCAAAACTCAATTATTTTAATATACCTCTCACATTCTACAGGAATATCTATACTTATTTCATTAGTTTAGAACTAAATAGGAACGCTTAAGCATCAGTTAATAATGAGCTTCTAAGTTTTCAGGTTTCATTTTAAAGATGAGAATAAAAATCCAGAAGTGTCATATTAGGTGTCCAGCAGTTTATTTAAGTTAATCCAAATTTTTCATTTGGAAGAAAAAGGAAGAAAAATGATAAGTTAAAGTTGCAAAAACAAAGTTGTTGCTATAGATTTGGAATTAGGCTATTAGCAACTGCTGGTATAAACTTTAAAAAATTATACTTTCAGAAGCTGAGACAGGTTTGTTAAAGAAAGAGGGTAATACAGAGGGACAAGAAAATAATATGCAGAAAATAACACAAGTTCTTCTGTATTGGATGAAAGAAACAGGACTGAAATCTGAAAATATGACAGCTTTCAAAACAGGTGATCTAGTGCTGCATTTAGTTCTTTGTGAAAGAAGATTGCTGCATTGAACGTATGGATTTCCCTTCTGAACAAAATCACTTATATGCCTACTTTGGAATTTTGCCTTTCCTTAGTTACTGACACTAGGTAACACATGGAAAATAGTTGCAAGGAATTGAATGAGGACCTGTTTCACTGCTGGCTTCTTGCACTAGAAATTATTGAACTGGAATTCTTCAGAATTTAAGTTTTGGCTTCAAATAGATCTCAATTTAAAAAGTACTTTCAAATTTCCACAAAATATAACCACCACAAATCTGACAGATACTCCATTGCACTAACATTAGTGTCATTTCAAAGTGAATTGGAGAAAATGACAAAAAAAAAACATTTCACTAAGTAGAAACAGGTGAGGTCCAAAGTCCAAAGGTGATGTCTCCTTTTGTAAAGACTGCACAACCAAGGAATCTTCTGTTTTTCAAGTCCCCAATATCAGAGAATGAATTATGAGGCCACAAAGGGTTCTAGTGAAAACCTGAGTTCGATTAAGCAGAAGGATGTCACACTGTTCACATTCAGTATAAATGCTTAATGCTTCACAAACTTGCACTTTTAATATTTGCTTTTTATCGTCTTGAGTTCTTGAATCTTTCCTTTGATAGCTTCTTTAATTTTGTAATCATTCAGTTTTTATACCATCACATCATGGACCTAAGTTGTACCTTACCTGGAGACATTTAAGTTAATTGGTTTTACAACCTTTGTGTTTAGATTTAGCCTCATATTTAGATGAGAAACCATTTCACTCTCTCTGCTTCTTGTCTCCTGTATGTTGTATTTTTTGGGCATGCTCCATTTTATTCATATTGGTGCTAAGGTGAAAGGTCTTACATAAACAGGTAAAAAGTAACTTGTTACTGTATCTGACTTGATTTCTTTGCTTTATATTACTGACATAAGTAAAACTTGACAATTTTTCCAGCACAAAATCCCTAGTAAAAAGAATATGGCATTCTGGTTTTTTTCTATCTATAAGCTTCTGCAAATTAAATTTTTAATTTCAATATTTTTGAAATTAAATAATTATTTTTAAATAACTTTTACGTTATGAACCTTTGCAGTCAGTAAAGAAAATGTTTGAACCTTTTTCCGCATGTTAAAATGTTTCAGTTCAGGTTTCTGCCAATTATTTCTGGTGTGTTAAATAACATTTAAAGATTAATGACCTTGTATGAATACATGAGGATCCCCATGGGTACTTTATCCTCAGTGAGAGTTCAAGAAATGCTTTTTTGTGTGCATGGATCAGTATGTGCCAGAGATATGCAGCTATCTTACAGCATCTTTTGTAAGATCTATGAAAAAAATTCAGTTCTCATTAACTCACTAAGATAGAATCTGAGTGCCGTGTTGCAATTTACTTGACAGAGCTGCACTATTTTTCCTTAAGGGTAAGTTACCTATGTCAATGATGCAGATCAGCTGCACTAAATTCAGTCCTTTCTAGTGACTTGTTTCCATTGGGATATTAAACCTGCCTTGTGTATTCTTCAGCCCTGTTTTTCTGCTGCCTCTTGATAAGCCAGGCTGCAATTAACAAAAAGCAGTTGAGGAACAAATTGATACTTCTTTTCCATACGGAATGCATGATCAATCACAGCCTAAGCTAGCAGCAGTTTGTGACATATAGTTTAGATTCAAAGAAATAGACTTCAAATATTTGGTATCCTTTAATAAAAATATTTGAGAGTCCAAATGTGTGCAGTGAAGCCCTTTGCTGCTGTTGTGAAGCTACTGTGGGATGTCATTCAATTTCCTGGGAAATAAAAATGGCTCAGGAGAACACATTTTTTCACATGGGCCAAATTCTTGGTCTCAAAAAGAAATTGGATTAGACAGTACTTGAGCAGTATTTTACAATGGTTCAGTTCTCTTGTCCATGATCTCTTTTGCATATTTGTTAATTGCAAAGAAGTTAAGAGATGATGCGCACAGTTATCTGTTCTCCTCCTTCTGTAGATTATAGTCTGAATACTGTTTTACTGAATACAGTACTGTCTTCTGCTGGGAATATGTTAAGTGGATGGGCAACATGTATTAGGAGCCATCGAGATCTAGTGTTTTTATGCTTTGGCTTTTGTGTACCTGATTTCTGAGCTCTTCCCTATGAAAACTAAATTTACATGCATTTGAATTTCGAATCTGTTTTTCCATCCTTTTTACACAATTGGCTGTTTTCTGTCTTTTTTTTTCAGAAGTGAATACATAAGAGGGTGAAAACTGTTGAATAGGCAGAGACAGATCTGAGTTGGTGGTAATACTTTTAACAAATTGGAGTACTTACCCTTTCTAGGTAGAGCAGTCATCTAGTAAGCTGGGTTTGTTGGAGTCTCCAGACTAGTCAGAAAATACACTTTTTATGAAGTGATGTTGCATGGAAAGAAGAGATGGGTCAGTATGTTTGGATGTACAGACTGCTTAGGGCACAAAAACGTGTGTGAAGCCCATCTCTGTTACCTGTGCTTTTCAAAATGGTGTTTTAGTTGTGTGTAGCCTAATTGGGGAAGAGTATTGTTTCCTTTTCTCCAGCCTTAGAAATGGTAATGAAAAAATGTGTAAGATATGGAATAACTTCTAAAATTATTGTAATCTTAACCATTTCTTTAAAAAATATTTCAAAATTTCTGTAAGAACATTCTGAAATTGTGAACTTTTTTTGCTGAGTAAAACAAGCATTTGAAACATATTAATTTGTAATAATATTTCTATGCTGTATGAGCCATTCCTGCCTGATATCCTAGAAGGACCAGAAGTTTTGTTCCTTGTCTGTGTTCGGTGACACAGTATTGTTACTGGTCATGTATTAAAAGAACCAAAAGCCAGTTGGATCTGTGGTTTAGAAGTTTGTCATCTGAAGGAGTGAGTTTTCTGCCAGGCAATCTGCTTAATGTTGGTAAATTATGAATGCGACAGGTTATCTATCTGCTGAAAGGTTAAACACCAGTTCTAAAATAATCAAATCATAGAATGGTTTGGATTAGAAAGGATGTTCAACATGATCAAGTTCCAACCTCCCCTGTTGTGATCAGGGACATCTTTCGCTAGACCAGATTGCCCAATGCCCCTTCCAACCTGGCCTTGACTAAAGGCCATGCTTCACTTATAAAGCATGTAGAAATTTTTGTTTGTTAAAGAAGTCAACATAAAAAGGTTGAGCTGCCTGCATAGTTGATTTTTTTTTTCTTTATATTTGTGGAAGATTTTATAGGTGAACTGTCATGTGTTTGCATGCATTTAAAGTCTAAACTTTATATCTCAGAAATCACACTGCTTTTCTAGGAGAGATGTAGGTACAGAAATGTGTTGTTTTTTTCTCCAGGAATCTTTCTAATGTTTTTCTGCACCAATTGCCTGTAAGCATCATAGAAAAAATCTTTTAGATCAGATGAAACTAACAATGCATATGTTTCCATTTAACTTTTAAATGTTTGGCAGATCCCAGGCAAAGACACACATTCAAGTGGGTGAAAATTAATTTACTAAGAAAATCATGCAGTCTGTTACCTGTTCAACAGAGCGCTCTGCGAAGTCAGTTGATAGGACAAATGTACTAATTAGTCATTTTTCAGTTCTTAGTCTTTTTTACTGATGTTTATTAATACTCTGTGGTGAACTCCAGTTTTGTGGAGATAGTTCAGGGAAGTGTGCTGTAAATTGGTTCAAAGAAAAGGCTTATGGATTTTGGTCAAAATTCTTGTGTTTAAACAGAAAAAATAAGTCACTGAGTTACAAAATCTGGAAAACTTGGGTAGACTATACAGATGATTAGTCAAAATATATTGTTCATCGTAGCAATTAAAAAAAAAATCATTGTCTATGCTTGGTGCATGTGTGCTTGCTGTTGTGGAGTGTGCAAGATTTCCAAGCCTTGGAAAGTTAACTTTTTCTTATCATCTAGAATATGATCATATGTGGAACAAGGATAAAGTGAATTGACTTTCTTTTATAGTGAATAACTTTGCAGTAGATAATATTCAAAATTAAATTTATCTGTTGCATGTTGCAGTTTAATCACCTTCTCCAGATAGATTTCCAACTAACAAACTGGATAGTTATTTTGGAAGTTCAGTAAGTTTTAACACATGCTCCACTCTTTCAGGTGAATACCTCTACTTTGTTTTCATATATTCACAAGAGACTTCTTTTTGCTTGTAAATTGTTGTTGTGCAGAAGAAAAGAAAACTTCTGTCTCAGGTTATAGTCATGGTATCACTTGAGAGAGGGATGAATTTTTCATCTGCCTTTTTTTCTTCTCTCGTGTCCTGTGTAAACAGGACAGCAGGAAAGAAATTGCTCCAAGTTTTTCAAGAAAAAACAATTTCAGTATTTCCTCATATCTAGGATGCTTCCTAATCTAAGTTGACGCTATATAGTGAATATTGTTTAAGGTGAAAAATTAAAATACTGTGTATTTTTAATAAAAGGAGGGTGAGGAAGATTAATTGGGAAGGACTTGCAGGGAGTCACTGCTGTAATAGATGATTCCATGCCAGTTGCCCTGCAGAGGCTCTGAGGAGGGAATCTGTGCCAACCCTTGGATTTCACCTCTCTAAAAGACAAGTGAAATTGTGTGTTCGAGTAAAGGAAAATATTAGAACACTTTGTGTAGTTTCTAAACTCAAATATTACTGTGTGAAGAACCTAAAGGAAAGAACAGCCTACCCCCAACAATAAGACTAAACAAGACCTCATTTTGTTTTATGTGATTGTTCCGTAAATATTTTTTTTTCTGCATTTGACTTGTTCTTCTCCCTGTAATGTTTTGTCACAGGGTTCTTAGATTATTTTTTAAAATATCCTAATGTATATTTTAAAATGTATGTACAGCTTTTGAGAGATCATGTAAATGGAATAATTTTTAGCCCATGTAAAAAGTCTTCTGTTTTTAACCTTTAGAACGCATCTTCAGTCTTCTTACCTTCAAATTTTTGATTGTACTTTTGATGGCTTTCTTTGGCAGGGCAACAATAGAGGAGACATATTCAAGGTCAATGACAAAACTAGCCAAATCAGCAAGCAATTACACACAACTTGGGTAAGTAAGTGTACATAAGAGAGAAATAAGTCACTGTATACATGGTAAGAATCAAGTCTGATTCTGAATATTTTATTGATGATGTTGAAGGTTAGTGTAACTTTACCTTTAAAAATGGTTGTTAGGTCTTTAGTAGCCATGCAAAAATTCCTGCAGACAAAGACAGCACAGTTCTTTGAACTGATGAAAAAATCCAAAACCTAAACACAGATAAACTGTCTTCTGTGTTTAAAGCAGAGTTCTTTTCAGACATAGTTACTTCTATTATGTCCTCTCAAGCCTATGGAAATTATTTTGAAGAGAGAATATATGGCCTGCAAATATGGCAGTGAATTTATTTATTTCTTTTATTTCTGGTTTTTTGGGTGTTACCTTTTCTCAGAGATGTTCAGAATGAAACTTTTCCATAGATTTATTCCACAGTTAAATGGAAGTTTTATACTCCTGGTATGTTTTTAAAAACTAGAATAATTAATGGATACTTTTCCATTACATAGATTAGGCCAATGAAAACTCAGACTTCTGAGAAAAACTAGATTTTTTTTTTTTATAGTAATGTAATCTAGAAATGTGGGGAGCTTTCATCAGTGAAAAATTTTATAATAGTTGTTTTTGCTCTTTAAATTAACAGGCAGATACAGAACCTTTGAACATAAGAGCTTTAAATCCTGTGGTTAGTATTGATTTTTAGCAGCACTAACCAGAATAGCAAGGCAGAAGTATGTCTTTGGAACGCTTGGAGAAAGTCCGTTCAGCACAGAAATCTGAGAAATGATCCCACCTCTTTGTTCATCTTCGTTAATCAGTAAATCCTTTTTAGTGGCAGACCATCCAATATTTTGTCTCCATCTTGTGGCTGCAATGATGTAAGACAACTAGAGATGTCACTAGCCAGGGAATTCCTGATTTGTTCACACTGATCAAGTATACACATAATAGTATTTACTACATGTTAAATTATTTTAATCTGTTCTTGCACTGTCTTGATGCTTGGCATTGTTGTGTGCTCATCATAGTGTTAAATGAAATTTGTGGTGTTTTACTTATTAGAGCCAATACAAGTAAAACACTGGATGTTTTGTTTATTCAATTTTAGGAGGAAAAGTGAACTGTAAACTTTCTGATTATTCTGTAGCACTAGTAAAAAAATTGCCAACTGAAAGAAAAAAAACCAAAACAGATTAACATTATTTTCTTTAATCCAGGACATTTGCACCAGTTTGGGATGTTTTCAAAACCTCAACAGAAAAACTAGCAAGTTGTCATTTGGATCTTGTGCGGAGATTGCAAGAGCTAATAAAAGAAGTTCACAAGTATGGAGATGAACAGATCAAAGCTTACAAAAAGGTTATTAATTCTTTTTCTTATGTATGCCAAATGACTTGTAAACATTAATATGGTTTGGTTTTGACAACCATATGATATTTGGCAGACTAAAGAAGATGTTTCAGGAACTTTGGAAGCAGTGCAAAATATTCAAAGTATCACTCAGGCCTTGCAGAAATCAAAAGAAAACTACAATGCAAAGTGTGTGGAACAAGAACGCTTGAAAAAGGAAGGAGCAACACAGAGAGAAATTGAAAAGGTAGCTGTCACATCTTTCTTTAATTGTGCTATATTATTATCACTGCTTTTAATGAAGGAATGGGACCACCATTGGGCTAAGAAACAACTTATTGCTCAGATAAACATCAGTCTCAGATGTCATGAGATTTTAAAGGAGCAAGCTGTTTGCCATAGCTGAAAGTAGTCACAAGTTCTTTGTTACAAGACAATATATAGCTTTCTAAACCAATGGACAGTCGCCACAAAGTTTATTTTGCTTTTCTAACCTATCACCATTACTCACTTCTACTGCACTGCAGATACTTTTACCCAGGGGGGTATTATGACACATATACACATATACTTCCATTATAACTTTTAAACTCTTAACTTACTCTATTACATTACTCTTCTTACAGTTACATTGCTCTCCTACAGACCCTTCACCATCTTACCCAATACAGTTTCTTACTTAAGGTATATTCTTACTTACAACTATAGAGACATAGGTTTATGATTTTTCTGCTTAATGTCTATGTACTTTATTTTTACATTAATCCAAGCTCCTTCCAAGGCTGCAGACCAAAGTCCCCTGTATCTGTGGAAGTTTTTCTTTCCGTTTCCCACAGTGCTACTAATTGTCATACATGTTCACCTTGTATTAGTAAGTGGAATGCTCAGAAAGGATTAAACCTAGTTGAAAGTTGTGACTACTTGGCAATATGCATGATATTGTGAATATCTAGATATGTATTGTTTACACTTACTTCCTTGTCTGTTCTTACTGTACTGTAGTTCTAATTTTTCACTTTATAAATGCCTGCATCAAATGATAGTTTTGTGTAGTGTCTTTAACAGAAACAGTGCCCAATTGTTTTAAAATCTCTTGCATTTTTGAACATATTTTCTTATGTAAATGCTCAATGCCCTTGAGTAACAGAACTCAGGAATAATTGTGTTATCCCTGCAAAGAGATAAAGTAGCTGCGTACATGAGTATTTGAAGTCTGTTTAGTAAAGAAAATGTTATCAGCGCTTTCACTGCTGTTTTAAAAGGTTCCAATCTCATGGACCAGAGACTGAAGGGATCTTCACGATGAGTCAATACAATTAGTATCTTGAGGTGTATTTAGTACTGTCCTTGGGTTATAATGGGGGATTGATCCATTCACAGAATCACTCAATGTCTAGGGTTGACAGGGACCTCTGAAAGTTATCCTCTCTATTCCTCATGCTCAGGCAGGGCCATCTAAAGCCATGACCTTGTCTAGACAGCTTTCTAGTATCTTCAAGGATGGAGATCCCATGGTGTCTCTGGGCACCCTGTGCCAGGGCTCAATCACCTTCACAGGCAAAAGGTGTTCCCTGCTGTTTTCAGAGGGAGGAAACCTTTCGTGTTTTCAGTGGTGCTCAGTGATCAAACCATTGTCTCTGGTTTGATCACTGAGCACCACTGAAAAAAGCCTGACTTTGTCTTCTATGTAGTCTCCCTTCAGGCATTTGTATCTCTTAGTAAGATTCGCTCTCAGACTTCCTTGCCTCAGGCTGAACAGTTCCGCAGTCTCAGCTTTTTCTTATGGGTCAGATGCTTCAGTCCCTTCATCATCTTCATGCCGCTTTACTGGACTCTCTTCAGTATGTCTGTGTCTCACTTGCAATGAAAATTCCGGAACTAGACACTACTGTAGGTGGGGGCCTCCCCAGTGCTGAGTAGAAGGGAAGGATGCCCTTCCTTGACCTGCTGAGAAAATAGTAACTTTTTCCTATTTTCAGTAATCTAACTAGTAGAGGAAAGAAGTCACCTTTCCTTGTTTCTATTTACAACTTCTCTTATTAAATCACGAATCCTCTGCCTATTTCCGTTTCAATTAACTGGTCTGTGTGGGACTTTGTTCTTGATAGAATGATGTTTTTGCTTTTAGTCCTGCTATCTTAATGGAGAAGATAGCATTGGTTATTGTCTTTTCACTGATGACAAAAGTTATTTTGTTGACTGTTTCAGTTGTTTTATCTTGGTATAAATCTAGCTTTTTTTCCCCCAGCTTCTGTCTCAAATGGGAGTTCATGCTGGATTCTAGACATGAATCAGATGTGTGTTGGCAGATGTTTTCCTGCTAGTCTGTTCAAAGTATAATTTTTCTAAATTCTTATAAATAGGGTTTTAGTAGGAAAGGTTGACTTGAGGGAAGGCTTTTTAAGATGTAGCATTATCCTTCATCTGGAAACAAAAAAATATTCAACATGACAGATGTCTGCATGAGAAGGGGGAAAGAGGAAGCACTTTAGGAGGAGGGTAATTTTTTTGCTGTTTTATGCATCTTCCTTAGATACAATTATGTCATTGAATAGTACTTGAATGCAAGTACTTAAAATATGTTTCTAGTGGGAGTAGGTAACTGACATTGTCACATTCTCTTCTGTCATGCCTCTATTCAAATTTACACTTGCAGTTTTGTAAACAGAGTGACCAAAAATGTGTTAATTATTAGACAAGCTGGCAGCCTGTGGCTTGGACAGGAGCACTCTTTGCTGGGTTCAGAACTGGCTGCACAGCTGGGCCCAGAGAGTGGTGGTGAATGGTGCTGCATCCAGCTGACAGCCAGTCACCAGTGGTGTCCTCAGGGGTCTGTGCTGGGCCAGTTCGGTTTAATATTTTTATTGATGACATGGATGAGGGATTAGAGTCCTTTATTAGCAAATTTGCAGATGACACTAAGCTGGGAACGTGTGTTGATCTGTTAGAAGGACAGAGGGCTTTGCAGAGGGACTTGGAAAGGTTGGATGGATGGGCAGAATCTAATGGGATGAAGTTCAGTAAGTCCAAGTGCCAAGTCCTGCACTTTGGCCACAATAACCCCCTGCAACATTAGAGACTGGGGACGGTGTGGCTGGACAGTGCTCAGGAGGAAAGGGATCTGGGGGCACTGGTGACAGCCGACTGGCCATGAGCCAGCAGTGTGCCCTGGGGGCCAGGAAGGCCAAAGGGATCCTGGCCTGTGTCAGGAACAGTGTGGCCAGCAGGAGCAGGGAGGTCATTCTCCCCTGTACTCAGCACTGGTGAGGCCACACCTCGAGTGCTGTGTCCAGTTCTGGGCCCTCAGTTTGGGAAGGACCTTGAGACGCTTGAGCACATCCAGAGGAGGCAACGAGGCTGGAGAGGGGCTGGGAACACAAACCCTGTGAGGAATGGCTGAGGGAGCTGGGGGTGTTTAGCCTGGAGAAAAGGAGACTCAGAGGTCTCTTCAGAGGTCTCTTCTTATCACCCTCTTCAACTCCCTGAAGGGTGGCTGTGATGAGCTGGGGGTTGGTCTCTTTCTCCGGGCAACAGCAGACAGAACAAGAGGACACAGTCTCAAGCTGCACCAAGGGAGATACAGGCTAGAATTAAGGAGGAAGTATTTTACAGAAAGAGTGGTCAAATACTGGAATCATCTACCCAGGGAGGTGGTGGAGTCACCATCTCTTGATGTGTTTAAAAAAAGACTGGATGTGGCACTTGGTGCCATGATCTAGTTGAGGTGTTAGAACATGGGTTGGACTCGATGATCTTAAAGGTCTCTTCCAGCCTAGAAATTCTGTGATTCTGTAATTTATTCTTCCTTTGGTAGAAAATAGATGTATTACTTTCAGTGCAACATGATAACTATTTGCGTGCAAAATCACAGATTCACTGCTTTCTCAGAAAACAAGGGATCTGCACCAGTATACTAAGAGTTTATCACAAAGTGAAATATTTGGAGAGGTACTTTGTTGAAGAATCTAAGGAAGTATCTGAGACCTTGCAAGTCTCATTGCAGCTGGAAGTTAATACTGACTTGCATAATAATTTCCTGTTGTTCTCTGACATGTAAACTTCTCTATTTTTAGTGACTTAACAAAAAATCAGTTGACTGATCCTTATTCTTTCACATACTGTAAATCTGGTCACATACTGTAAGTACAGTTCTAGCAATTGCTGTGCCTGAGAATAGTCATATCCTATTTTCAGAAGAGATTACTAGTTAATCAAACAGTGTCCATATGTTTTATCATTTTTTCTGTCCTTCTCAGTACTTAGTTTTTTAATTGCTCTTCAGCATGTAATACTGGCATTCTGCTCATCATTAAACAGGATGGGAAATGGAGAATGTTCTTGTTTTGCCAAACTCTATTGCACACAGAGTTCAATTAAAAATACTTTACCAAAAATACCCTCCCATTTTTACTTTTAGCTTGACATTATGTTCCTTTTTAGTGATTAAATTTGGAATCAACTTCAAAGCAGTCATACTTTTAAAAGCAAGATTTCAGGGAGCATGTTGTATTTTCAGCATAGTAAATGGCAGTTGAGAAATATGATAGCACTCTGTGCTTCTCAGTGATTTTCCTCTGTAAATGTGTATGAGTGAGAATCATGAAGTAAATTTCAGGATAATAAACTGATAGGTTTGATACAACTTTTCTGAATAATCCATATTTTTATTATTTTAAGTATTTTCACATTCTGTTATGCTGAGTTTAGAAGAGTTTGTGAGTAAGGTATGATTAGGCTTTCTTTGTAACTGGACAACTACTTTTGATTTCTATTCCTTTGAAGTGCTAATGGTACACTGTTACTCATGATTATCAGTTATTTTTCTCTTGGAAATTGCAGAATCTCTTTCTCTTGCCAGCGGGCATCTTTCTATTAACTCATTTGAAATTACAGATAGCAGTCAGCTTTACAAATCATTCTAAATAAAAAATAGTTTCTGTTCGACAGATGAAACTGATTTGCAAGGTGGAGGAGGGCTATAACTAGAACAAATAGAAAATATACAATTCTCTTTACTGATCTTATTAACAATTCAGGAATACTTTTGTGTTACAAATTTCTGAGAGATAGTAAGCCTGTTGAATAAAGAAGCTTGGAAAGAAAATGGTGCTCAAGATGATTTTCATTGGCATTTAATTTGGAAATGGATTATCAATGGTTTGAAAGACTTCATCTCATGCATCATATTGTAAACTTTGAAAATAACTATTTCTCTACCACAATCAGTCACTTCATTTAGTTTTGTTCTCCATGTAATACTGAGATTTTCCTGTATTTTGTTTTATGTTCTACTTTACTCCCAGAAAGCTGATTTTGGTATTAACAACAAATAATGAAAAGTATAAATCTCCAAAGTACTATTAATAGTAATACTGACCTGCCTAAATGTGATCTTCACTATACTCTGCACTAGCTTCACTTTCAAATACCTGTTAATTCATTGATGTAACTCCCATATACTTCTAGGTTTCTTTCTTCATTTCTAAGAGAACTTCAGCATCATGGGGTTTTGCCATTGATCCTTTCAGAATTGCACTTGTAACTGTTTGCTCTATATTCTAACCCTTCTTTTTTTCTTATTTTGCTGTTGCATATATAACTTTGTTGTTCCCCTTTGACAAGAGCTAATGAGTTGTCTTCAGCAATAAAAATTTGATATCAAAGTTAGTATTGTTATAAATATTTTAATAAAATTTTCATTGCTTATAAGGGCAAGTGATTTAGTTGACTTAATTTGTCACACTTGTATGTTATTTATATATAGTAAAATCTCCAGTTGCTCTTATCTGAGATGTTTGGTGTGGAAATTTTGTTATGACGCATCTCTGTTTTGGTGCCTGGTGCCTTTATTTTATGTCCCTGATCATTTTTAGAGATCATCATTGGGCTTTCTTTTAATATTAACTTTAAAAACCTGTATATGACATTTGTCTCATTTTTGTATTGATCTATAGGCAGCAGTTAAATCTAAAAAAGCAACAGATACCTATAAACTGTATGTGGAGAAGTATGCTGCATTTAAATCTGATTTTGAACTGAAAATGACAGAAACAGCACAGGTAAGTGTTGAATTAACTTTTGAAGTTGGTTAATGTATTCTGTTTAATTTCTAGAGCAATCTGAAATTAAAGATTTAAAAAATGGAAATTGATTTGCTTGAAAGGCAGACACTGACTATATATGTTGTGATAGCACTGTCCTTCAATGACACTGTGCCGGCGCTCTAGAAGGTGTTTTGAAGAAATTTTTGGCAGAAAGCAAAATGAACTTCTGCAAGTATTGTATGTGCATTGTGTTTATGTGGAGAAATGTCTGAATTGGTGGGCACCCTGGACTCATTTACAGGAATTTTAATATTGGGATCCATTGTGGCTTTTCATTATTATTCCACTGAAGCACTAAAGTTACAGTTTGTTAAAATGCCTACCCAGGATTTACCTGAGGTTATGAAAAGCCATTACAGCTGTTCAAGTTTCTGGGGTTTTTTAAAAGACTATATTCTAGAAGATTTCAGGTGCTTTGTATCAATGCATATGCCATTTCTTGCTACATTTTGAACCACATTTGCCTAAGTGTCCGTAGCTCCTTAACTGTAGCTGTCCTTTTACATAAAATTGAAAGTAATTTTCACCTAATGTTATTATGGACACTTGTAAACTTTCCACATTTGTCCATATTGGAAATGAAATTGTCATTCTGCCAATTAAAGATATATGCATGGAATTCACTTTAAGTATAATGGTGTAGCTGCGTTCACAATTTGGTTGCACAATGGCTACTTTAAAGATGATGCGATAGGAAAAATTACATCTGTGAATATATGGAAGCCCACTTCTGTGTGAAGCACATCCTGTATTGTCTTAATTCAGCATACATTTCATTTGAAAAGATGCTGATTAATTCTCAAAATGAAATCAGTGAGAAGTGTGAGTATTTTAATTTCTTTCCGTGCAAAATCAGTTGGTCTAGATTAAATCTGTTTTACAATGTCCAGTAAAAGTAAAATCGTAGAGTAGGCTACAGAGGATGTCCGTGTCTTCTGTAATTAAGATGAAGGCTGCTGAAAAAAAAGAAAATAATTTTAATCTCCCTAAGTGATGACTACAGAGGTACATAAGTATGGCAGAAGATTGAGGGTCTAAGAAGCTAGAGATATGTGTCTTGTATGCAGGGAGTCATAGTCTGTGAATCAGAGTAGCAGGATGTTGAAGATGGGGATCTTCACAGAACCCTGTGCTAATTGGAGACAGGATTAAGTGGTGCACCGAAGTTTGAACACACTTGAAAGGGTAATTACAGAAGCAGGCAGAGAACTAGGGAAGAGCAGAAGTAAACAAAGATTTCAAGACTGTTATGATTGACTGTTGGAGAGGATGAGAACATTTTTAGTTCTGATTTTTGGCCCGGAAGAGACCATTGAAAACTTTGGAAGTGATTTTAAAATGGCTGTCAGCTGACAGCCTGGGTAAAAAGGAACAAACTGTAAAAATTATACGTGATGAGTTTAAAGATCAAACAAAACATATTTAAAAAACATAGATTTACTAGAGAAAGAGTGTGTATGTTTACAGTTGTTCTAAAAAGGAAGTGCAAAATAGATCCAGACATAAGATTTCTTGGTTTAGGTGAAAAAACAAGACTCTTCAGTTATGGAGAAAAGAGGAAACTTGAACACCTTCTAAACATCTTTTGGTAGAAATAGATCAGATTTTTTTGAAAGGCTAGATGAAAGTTCACACAGTAAGTAAAAAAGTTCAATAATAATTCTGAAATGATCTCTTGTTTTCTAAAGTGCATTATTTCATAACTGAATTCTGCACCTTACTTTCCTAAATGTGACTATTTGGTTTAATATGTTGAGGAAAAAAAGGGCTTATTTGTTATTTTTTCATTTTAGTGTATTTAATTTTTGAAGTTTAAGATTTATTGTTTCAGGAAATATTTTCATTATTATTAATTGCTTATATTTGTTTGCAGAAATTTCAAGACATCGAAGAAATGCACCTTCTTCGAATGAAAGAGATTATACAGTCATTGTCAAATACCATAAAAGAAATTCATTTACAAATAGGAGAGGTATTTTTATACTATATTTGGATCATGCTTTGTTTTTCCTTAATTGTTAAATGGAATATTTCTTACTTTGTGAAATTCAACATAATTTAATGAAATTCAACATAAGGTCAAATTTCCATGGCTTCCTGTTGCATTTTTAAGTTCAGTACCACAAAGTTTACCAGATAAGACTGGATAAATTTTGTCATCAAGAAAAAAACTATTAGGACAATTTGAAGAATTTAAAAGTTGAAGAATTTTTAGTGTATTTCTAAATTCTGCTTCCTGGATATTAATTTAGCACTCATTTCACACAGATTAAGGATACTGCTTTTTAAATTAGAACTAGAGATTATGTCAGTCTGGGAAGTTTCCAGGTATGTTATACTCTTGGATTTTATCAGCAAAAGATATTTAGTAACAGAAGCTTTTATAATATCTTTTGTTTTGATGGAAGTTGAATTAATTAATAATCTTTATAAGCAGTCCTTTTTTATTTTTTTGAAGTGTCACTTTATTTGCTTACACTTTAGTATTGAGGTTCTCTGCTAATAAATGATCATCACAAGGGTGATGCTGTTTATTTCTAAAGTATATACACATCCTTCCTTGTTGGAAAAACCTACTAACAGCATGTTGTTAGAGCAAAACAACGTGTTGCTAGAACCAGAAATATTACAAGAGTAAGGCTTTTTACTCAAGCAGGTGGGAGTTGTGATAATACAGTAATAACAGTTCACGCCCTAAACTGGTGCTGGCTGAAAAAACTGCCTGTCTTCCTGACATTATGATGGGATATGTTGCCAACAAATTAGAAAAATATATATACGCAAGTTTTTTAACATGGAAGAAACAGAATTAAAACCTAGATCTGTATTTCATTTTTTGTCTATAGTGTACCCACACTTGCTAATACTACAGAAAGGAGTAGTTTTTCCTAGATAAATTATCTTTTGATTTTTCTAAGTCCTAATTTTTCTAATGTGTTTTAGGGGAAGGATTATGAATTTTAACTACTACAATAGCTACTTCTTAAAGTTAATAACTTTTTTTTTTGAAGGTGCATGAAGAGTTTATTAATAACATGACAAATACAACAGTTGAGAGTTTAATACAGAAATTTGCTGAGTCAAAAGGAACTGGCAAGGAAAGACCTGGTAAGAAATTAAAACTCATAGAATAGGAAATGTTAGCTTTAAAACTGGAAATTTCCATTCCTAATGAAATGTCAAACCTGTATTTGTTAATGTGCTGTATTTTTAACATATGTTCAAATTCTTGGTATTCATTATTAACTTTGATATTAAATGGTTTGTGGAAATTGGTAATGCAGAATTCATTATGTGCATGTAGTATTTGTGTTTATGATGTTTGGTAGTTTATTGGTCTGTACAACTAAACTATGCAGTTTCCTGGAACATCAGGGAAATTTGTCAAGAAACTGTAGTTCCTTATACAAACTGTGTGTTGTCTGCTATGTGTTTCTTGTACAAACTGTGAAATCTGCATAAATTGTACTTCAGAACTTTGTTGAATATAAACGTATTAAGAGCAGATGTCTATAAAGCTGCTTATTCAACTATTGGAGCGGTTGCATAAATTTGTTCAGCTTACCAAATTATCATTTTAATAGATACACAATATCTATTTTTTTATAAAATGTATTTTAATATACAATAATGTGTATTGCTTCTTTAGTAAGAAGCAAATTGAATAGTACTTTCTGAAGCTACTGTTGATTGGGTGTGGTAAGACTTTCCTGGACTGGCATAAAAAGTTGTTCTCACAGTACTGCCTATATTGTGTCACTTTAATATTGGCATGAATATACAGTCACTAGGTGTGTAAACAAGGAATTAGTAGTACTGTTTCCTTCAGTGCTAGGAGTCCTCATAAGCATCTCTTGTCTTCTAGTAGAGGCGAACAAAGATGTTTTTTTTCCTAGAGCAAGAATGTACATACCGGAGTCCGTAATGAAAATTTATAATGAATTGTTAAATATTATTAGGTGTCTTGCAATGTGTGTGGGAGGTGTTTAAAACATAACATTGTTTCATATTCTTTCTGTGATCCTGTAATGCTGATATCCAAGTGGGCTGAGGTAAGATTACATATGGAATGATTTTTGAAAGTTTCCTGTGTATGTATCAATTTCTCAGTAAAGCTTAAAAAAGAAAATGTGTGAACTTCAGGGTATCAAGTTCAGTTGGTCTGAAACAGGACAAAGACATGTTACAATTTGGTGTTCAGACCTCTTGGATTAGCTGTTGCCAAGATGTCATGGGAGGGATCTCCATCTTGCATTTAAGGTTCTGACTGCCTGAGTTACAAAGACCCTTGCTAATTTGTCCTAGAACATTGCACACTTCAAGTCATGCTATCCAGCATGGGTTTTGCCAGACAACATTGTAATTTTTAGAGAAGTAACACTTCACCATTTAATTTAATGGAAAAATTACACACATTTATTCTTGCTGCTTTACAGTTCTTCAGATCCCATCTGTGCTCTCTGAGGATGAATAAAAACTTCTCCAAATATATTCTAAGTTAAGCCAAGTATTTTAAGGAACAATAGCACATTTAGTGTGTAAATATATGCACCTTAAATTTTCTTTTAAATTATTTTATTGATCCAAGCTTTGTCAAGCAGTCATAGTGCAGGGAGAAAGCATAGTCAAATTCAGCAGCAAAAAATATAAATTCACAAGAAGTTTTGGAGTGTTAAAGAGTAACAGCACAGACTTCTAATGATGTTAATTATGCTTATTGCTTCTCATATATTTGTTTTATAAACTTAGAATCATAAAACTTTGACAATTCTGAAGATTTGGAAGGCAAAGTGAGGTGTCAGTCTTCTGAGAATGGAAAGGACACAACCACTCTTAGGACTACTTTTTCTTGATTAAACTCCCACTTTTTTGCATCTGGGAAGAGTTCACAGTGAAAAGATAATTCATGGGACAAATGCAGAAAAGTCTGTGGGATGTATTTATTAATTAGGTTGAAGAAGTAGATGGCTCCATATTCAGTGTAAAAAATGATACTGACTTGGCTTACAAAACAAATGCAGAAAAACTGCATTTGTTGTTTGTCACTGTTGGTTTTAACTGTCACTGTAGGTTGTAACTTAAATATGTTTAAAAGCAATATTTTCAAATTCCCCAGGACTATGTAAGCATTTTTTCATCATTTTCATATTATTTGTGGGTTATTATGATAAGTGAGATGGTAGGTACTTTTAGATAAAATAAACTAAAAAGGCGGTGCATAACAAAGGTTTTTAGTTTATTTCAGTATATTCTAGCTATTTATAGTTATTCATGGCAGAGTTCACTTGCTTTTATTTATATCTGTAAAAATAAGAAGGAATCAGAAATGAGGAACTGATGAGAATTACAAACCATGTACAGTAAAGTTAACTGCATATCTGAAATGTATTTGTACAGTGATATCTGTTTTACCAGATTATATGGGCTCCCTCTGGTGGCTAATTTCTGTCACCTGGAGTCAGAATGTAGAGGGATATCTAGAATTCAAGTCTGTCTTGTCCAAATAACAGGTTTTCTTTCAAACAGTAATGCTTTGTGAGAGTTTAATTCACTCAGGAACTTCTTTACAATGGCTCTTTTTGCACTGCTACCTAAATAACTTATCTAGTCAGCTTTTTAACCTGCTTCTCACTGAATTTGCTTTAATTTTTTCTTTATCAATTCAGTTTAGAATTAGAGATTTTAGTAACACGGTATTTGGAGAAGTAATAATTTTTGTTTTCTGACTTCCATTCAGTGAAAAAAAAAGCCCAAAAAACCAAACCACTTACATCCAGTTGTGAATCTTTAGTTCTAACTGAAAAGAAGGTTAGTGTAAAACATCAAAAAACAAAGCTGTCAGGACCAGAATTTAATGTGTTCCCTGAACTGCCTTAAACACCCAGAGGAGCCAGAATGAGGTCAAAGAATGGGCCCATGTGAACCTTAAGAGGTTTAACAAGACAACTGTGCAAGGTGGTGCCCGTGGGTCAGAGCAGCCCTGGTACCAGCACAGGCTGGGCATGACCAGATCCCAGCAGCCCTGCCCAGAAGGAATTGGGGGTGCTGGTGGCTGAGAGGCTGGACATGCCCCAGCCATGGTCACTGCCAGCCCAGAGAGCCACACGTGTCCTGGGCTGCATCCAGAGCAGGGTGGGCAGCAGGGCAGGGAGGGGATTCTGCCCCTCTGCTCTGCTCTGCTGAGACCCCACCTGCAGGGCTGCATCAGCTCTGGGGGCACAGCACAGGAGGGACAGGGAGATGTTGGGGTGGTCAGAAGAGAGACACCAAGTTTATTAAAACACCTCTCATATGAGGACAGGCTGAGGGAGTTGAGGCTGTACCGCCTGGAGAACAGTATGCTCCAGGAATAATAGCTGATTGTGGCCTTCCAGTACTTAAAATAGGCTTATAGGAAAGATGGGGATAAGAAATTAGAGCCTGTAGTGGTATGGCAAGGAGTAATATTTTTAAACTAAAAGAGAGTCAATTCAGACTAGATATAATTAAGGTGTTTTTTATCATGAAGATGGTGAAACACTGGAACAGGTTGCTCAAAGTGGTAATTTTTCCATCCATGAAACAATTCATCTTCATGTTTGACAGGACTCTGAGCAGCCTGATCTTGTCAAAGATGTCTCTGCTTATTGCAGGGGGCATTAGAAAAGATGAGCTGTAAAGATCCCTTCCAACCCAAAATATTCTAGGATTCCAGAATGTTCCCAGTGTTAGGTTTAATACCAGATTTGATACCATAAGTTGGAAGATACTTTAGTCACTCATATGGTTCTGCAGTGTTCATCAAAACTTATCTGTGACCGTGGTCACAGGGATTTTCAGGTGAAAGGAGAGACGAGAATGTTGACTCTGTGGTCAGAAGGCTTGATTTATTATTTTATTATATATATATAACATTATAGCTATACTAAAAAGAAAAGGAAGGAAAAGGTTTCTTGAGAAGCTAGCTAAGCTAAGAATAGAAAAGAAAATAATGAAAACAAAAGGTACCTCTCTCAGACTCTGTCCGAGATAGCTCTGTCTTGATTGGCCATTAATTATAAACATCTAAGAAGGGCCAATCACAGGTAGACCTGTTGCATTCCACAGCAGCGGATAATAATTGTTTACATTCTGTCTCTGAGGCTTCTTAGCTTCTCAGAAGGAAAAATCCTAAAGAAAGGATTTTTAGTGAAAAGTTGTCTGTGACACTTAACCACCTCCAATTGATTGGTTTCCTGTTTGTTGTAGTCTGTTGCTTCATATTCCTTGGGAAACTAATTTATTGTATGGCAGAAGATACCTGCTTTTCTTCCAAAGTATATTTAAATCAATAACGAAGGGTTACCAGAGTAATCTTCTTTCAGATTAATGAGATACCAATGAGCTCTAGCTCTAGATTAGCTCTAGACCTAATCTATTAATTTGTTAAAAAATTGGTTTGTTCTAATGTGCAGTGTTGGTGCACAAGACATAGAAGCTGCTAAGAAGTTTAAACTCATATTCTTTTTAGATTTTATATCTGAAATTTTCCAATTAATATCAAATGTCTTTTAAGAGGTTACCTATATATCTGTAGTTGATAATGAGTAATTTTAAATTTTAGTTACTGAGTTACCATGTCCACTTCTCGTCTATGGGGAACTAGATCTGTGTGTTTGTTCTTGTATTAGTTTGTGCCCACTACATGGTTCACTTAGAAGATTCCATCCAGCCCGGCCTTGAATACTTTCAGAGATGAGGGATCCACAGCCTCTCTGGGCAACCACTACCTGTACCCTCACAGTAATGAATTTCAGCACCCTCACAGTAAAGATTTTCATTCTAGTATTTAATCTAAACCTGTCCTTCTGCATGTTAAGGTCATTCCCTCCTTCCTATCACTACATGCCTTTGTGAAAAGGACCTTTCCACTTTTTGTGTAGGCCCACTGTAAGTACTGGAAGGTACTCTAAAGATATAATTGACTTTTTGGGTTTTGAGTGCCTTTGGCTGGGTCACAGTAGGCTGCTTGTCCACAAAAACCACCACATCTTTCTTTCACAAGGCTGCTCTCAACTCATTCTCTGCCCAGCCTGTATTGGTGCTTGGGATTGTCTGACCCAGAATCCTGCTGTGGTGCCTTTTTGAAT